TTCAAATGGAATAAAGATTTCACCATCGACAAGTATTTAATTTGCCATCATAATCACACCTGCAGATATGCGATTCAGAATGTGTTGGCTAAAAACCGTGAATCATTCATCATTCTAATATCATCTAAATCAAACTCCATTTTCCTGTCAATTTAAAGTTCCCATTGGGGGTGAAATAACCCCTGCCCCATTATTATAACTCAATAATCAGTCCAAATGTATGCAGCCATAGAGAAAGAAAGACTATGCGCTAAAGAATGCAATTAGAAGAGAAAGTAGAGGCACAACAAATTAATCTAATAGTATACACTATATATACTCTATTGGGCAGCAAAATTAGTCCATAATCTTCGTATCTAAGAATTTAGATCCTATGTTCTGTGTAATGGCATATCACAAGAACTAAAGAACTACAGGTATAGTATGTTGATGTAACACTGAGATGTATGTGTTTTCAAAAATGCAAAGCCGACAAAGCACTATACTATTGTGAAGATACGGTGCATTTAGGGTTGGATCCTATTATAGATTAGAAGCAACGATTCGGACTTGTAATAAAAGCCAAGAACAATGGTAAAATATGGAATCCATACAATTAGATCCTGTTCGTTCAAATCCGCAAAACCATTAGTACTGATGTGTAGCCATCTCACGCTAGTGTGCGTTAAAAGGTTTCCTCCCTAGACGGCATAGGAAGATCAAACGATTTTTAATGAAATAAAACGTAAAATGTAACCCTTCACTGTTTGGAATGTCAGTGTGCAGATGGCCAATACATCTTTCAAATAATCACTGTGTAGTCCATGAAGCTAAAAAGTGGCGTGAAACGGCCTATTATGTATATTCGAGAAAAAAATAAGGCAGAACACTGCGTTTGTGTGTATAGTTGGATAGTTGTTTCTATTAACCTTTAGAATTACACGATGTTTATTTGGTTTATTTGCGTTTAATCCATCAAAAGCAATATGAAACGATTGTGCAGGGCTCTTTCTACATGCAAGCTATGATACTCCCTTGAAGCGACTCAAAGTCCTTAAACCAATGGATTTGTCTTGACGCAATATGACTTTCTGTAAATGATACCTTGTTAAAAAGATTTTACTCTACCAGAATGAAAAGAAAAAAAATCTCTTTAAATGTGTGTCTGGACGACGCTGTTGGGCAAACCACAGCGGGTTCAGAGTCTAATAGTATATATCTATTGATTTCTATGCATGATCGAAAAACGCCGTCTTCAGCGAGCCAGGCATGGTCCTCTGGAGACAGCAGCCACAAAATCGTACATGAGTCAACCATGCCATGTACAAGGTTGAGCAACCTTTTACAGCCAGACGGTCCTGATTGATTTATGAAGCTCGACGCAATAAAACCGTCTTTAAACGATTTTACTGTCCTTTAAAAAGATTATAAATATCACGAAAAAAAGAAAAGTGTCTGGTTAGGATAATGCAGGCCTCCGTGAAGTTTCCGTCCTCAGAAAATCATTTTGTGCTTGAAAGCTGAAATGGCACTTACCAATGTCACTGTTTGACAGAATTAATCTGCAGTCTACTGTGGCTTAAATTGCCTGCCTATAAATTTATCAATCGTTCCATTATAAGGATGAAATACCGCGCGACTTTCGATCTTTTTTATTACGAAAAAACAAACACTTCTTTAAAACGACATACTGATTTGATAGGACTATCTCCTCGTAAACGTTTGAGACAATCACACTCCTTATAGAAGATCATACTAAATGGGTAATGTCCCGCTATCCTAGATTGATCATACATGTTTGAAACGATTGCCAACACCAATTATGTGAAACCCGTTTGGCTTTTACATTGTTATGTCCTCATTGAGGAACATACGTAAGTATAACACCACAGTTGAATCGGCGTGTGTGTGTGGGGTGGGGGGGGGGGGGGTGTGTGTGTGTGTGTGTGTGTGTGTGTGTGTTGGGTGTGTGAGTCTGTGCGTGTGTGTGAGGGGGGTATTTATTAAGGCTAAACATTGGTAAAGCTATTTCAATTACAGTGGCAGAATGCCGATTTAAAGACAGTATACTGTACGTAAATGTATCTGTCATTAGGCCGTATAATCGTAAGGGTTCGCTGAACCATGTTCACATTCTACGCAATTTTGACTTTCGTTTCCATTTTGCATCCATGCCGAATGTTATTCACATTCAGTAATACGCCGAATGGTATATCAAGGAGTTATTTATTTTGCAAACTATACTGTTGGAAGCACAGTTGGTGTTCTAGCATGTACGAGTACAGTGCCCAACATGCACCATTAGAGAATGGCAACTAATATTTTCCTATTTTAAGGTTAAGGTGACGATTAATTAAGTCAAAATACTCCGTTCGAATGAGCATTAACCTTTATCCATTGTGTAATCATCCATTATTCAAAGCCATTATTCAGACATTCATTAAAAACTTATCGATTCCATAATCAACAGCACGAGATTTTGTAATCAACGTTTTTTGGCGAGGGACTCATCACCCAGACAGTCATATTTGTTGTCCTAAGAAATGTTTTTGCTTTAACTTACATGGTCACCTCAATGACAAACATATAAAGCCATGTGTCAAATAGATAGAACGAACTCAGTTTTTCTTTCATTTCAATATTTTATTTCAATAGTTTTTTTATTGATGAAATAGTCTTTGTTACAAAAATGTCAAGTATCAGTGGTATTTTTGATCATCTTACAACGACCTCGTTGAATATCTTATTCAACTTCCTGATCCTCTCGACTGTTAATGGTATCATATGAATAGGTTTTTTGAAGGCCTACATGTAGAACTTGTATGTTTTCGATACTCATACCTTGCAGCCAATTCCAGTTTCATGTTTTCTATAAGATAAACACGTTTTGTTAAAATGCATTACATTAATTTTTTTAAATGTCGTTTGGACAGAAAGTGTTCCATTGCCATATGCGCTGTCGTTAATCTCCGTGTGTTCGAACTTTTATATTCTTTTGATTTTTTGATAAAAAAAGAAACTGCTTCGCATTAAAAAAAACGTTTAGTAATAACAGTAATGTTGCCTGCATTTATGAATGTACATTGTAGCCGCATATATGCACATAATCCCCGTCTGATTGATGGCAAGTAACTCAGGTAATCTGTTCTGGAAAAACTATTACGAAGTGATTTGTCTTTCTCACGCAACATGCACACAGATACCAATGTCAAACACGAAGTACGCGGTAAGGTACAGATAAAAAACACAAAACTCCCTGTTGGCTTCAAAAGCCTTGCCTCCTCAAACTATACTTCAGTGGCATCACGCAAATGCTATAGATAAAAGAAAATGAGAAGACCTTTCTGGTTCGAACTAGAGATCAAGGAAGCTAACCAACCACGTTAACGTGCCAGATAAAAGAACGGCCCAATTGATGGGACGCGAGCGTACAAAATGAACATTGCCTTTGTCGGTTGCGAAGCATACTGCTAACTTCATTACGACTTACTGATTTGTCTAAACTCACTTATAAATGACAAAAAATCCCTAACCAAAGATCGTTCTCACGAGGTTGTCTGTGGTGTAAGTTCATTACCGCCCATACTGTAATGTCATGTCCCTTGTGATCAGGGGCGGCTTCACAAAACAGCTATGTATACCCCCAAATTGGTCTAAACTTTTAGATACAAACTTTAGTCACTTCAGGTCAAGATAAACCATAGTTGTCCACTTGCTAAAGTCAGAATTGGCATGAAACATTAGCCCTGTCTCTCCTGTTATAATAAAACAGGCGCAGTGTGTCTTTTATTTAAGTCGACTACCTTCATTATCTAGTGGACACGCAAAAAGTTTTGTCCATTTTTTTCTGCCTATAACTCTTTGGTGAACTAGATCTCTCTATGTGTGCTTATAGGCAGGTTGCTCTCGTTGTCAACATATTCGAGATTGATGCGACCTGACAGCCGTGCAGTTTCCAATTACTGCAGGTTTTCATAATAACGGCTCCGGTTATTACGGAATAACGCGGTCTTGTAAGGAAGTGCCATCCATAACAGTGGGAATGATGCTGCAGGTAGACTAGAATCATGTCCTTGATTAAACATAATCCTACATGTATTTTTTTTCACGTTCGACATTGATTTAAGTAAATAGTGTAACTAAGAAGAAGATACGCAGTGTCTCCAAATGTTCTGCATATTGTACATAGGGAAACGCTAAGGGGGAAGCGGCATTACATCACATACGCTCCATTGAACAATTCATCAAATTTTTAATCTATTTAAGAAAAAACGGGCCTATGTGATTTGACTCACCACAGGAATATGCCTTCAGCAAACGAATTCATCCCACTGCAGATATTCAAAGATAATATGAAAAGCGTGCCATAACTCAGATAAAGGCAGAGTTTTAAGAACAGTTAGAGCACTCGGCGTAAACTCGAGAGTTATGGATAACCATCTACGTATTCGATAAATTTAGCAATATCGAATGCAAGATAAAAAAAAAAAACTCATCTAGATGGTTCCGGCAGCACAGTGAGTGGTATTAGTTTATGTAACACGTGTAAAAAGAAGTGCATATTAATTCAAACGTGAAGATTATACAGTGGTTATTATACCCACTTATATACACCCAAGCACGCTCTTAACAATCCATTTAACTACTGCGTGTACATTTAATTCTTGCTTCTAGGAAATTTTATATGTTAGATTGCTACGTTTCTGCAACCACGTTTCATTAACACCTTCCACAGGTAAAACACATCTGTTGAAGTGGATTTCAATAGCAAGATCTTTCAAGCCTCAAGTTCAACAGTTTCGTGTTTTATTCTTAATCTGGCGCTGCATTGGATGATGTAATCATTTCAACATATACACAAATCACAGGAACTTCAGAGGTATAAAAATCGCACTGGCATGTGCATGCCGTTAAAAAACAGGCAGCTTTTAAGATTGCAGAACCAATTAAGCCATCAACGCACTGCATGTGCGTAAAGCCGCATACTTAAACGAAGTGGTCTCCAATAAATCAACACTCACCTTTGTATTCAGCTTGATAACTGAATGAATTTCAAGCTGGTCAATGGCACTCAGTAAGTACTCCTGGAAAATCCCGATTCTGGTGAAAAAGCACTGGTTTCCCCAACACCCTTCGATGTTCTCAAAGTCTACCCCCTTTTGCCGCAAAAATGCCACACTCCGGGCGTCCAAGGCGATTTGCTGGGGTCGGTTAATCAAGTCGTAACGGCATTTTTCCTCGTAAAGGATCAACCTGGCCACCTTGGATGTTTTTGCGGCAATTAACATGGCAGAGAGCCCGATGGGACCAGCCCCAATGACGACTACTGTGATTTTGGAAAAGTATTGTTTCCGTATTTGGTCCCATGCTGATTTGGTCAGGACAAATGTTAAGACAAACAGAACTGTGACGCAGGCGTTTCCAACAAGTTCTTTCGACGTAAAAGCGGGAACGTCCCCCTCCGTCGTCGAACGTGAGCACAGCATTAGCTCCGTATACAGCATGGATGTGGCATTTGTTACTCCAAACATTGATCTGCCAAACTCTCTTTTTTTAAGTGATCGGATAGAAAACAAAGTTTAACCTTCGTATATATGTTTGTTGTTCGTAGCTAGATTCGACTATATCTTTCCCTTCAATTTCAAGTAATTCTCGACAACAACTAAGTAAAATGCCCCTTGTTCACTTAGTCAGGTTCTCCAAACGGCAAAGAAAAAGGAATTTTGGCATAAACAGCAAAACTGCACTTGATAAATATCGTTGCTCCAGAAATGGGATCTTGACTCGTTACCTTGAAAGGTCATTGTAATGCTGCGACAGCATGTCATTGTAAAACGTCATTGGCAAGTCGAAACTGGCGCCATACATTCATTTGGCGACAATTGGTAGATTTGTTCCATGCGATGGTGGCTATCAGCCAAAACCAAAACTCCTGAAACGTAAACCAAGCTTAATAGAAAGAACCTCGTTTGTCTCTTGTTAATGCCCTAAAGATTGGCCTCTGTGTCGTGGCTATTTCCTTCAATCACTTCTTTCTGAACCTACAAATCAGCAACGTGATATTTCTTCTTTTGTCGTAGGTCCTTGTTATTTGCTTACGTCGTCCACAGTAATAATATAAGTGCTGCCGTAATCCCAATTACTATCTTCTTGATTACAAAGTTCCAATCTAGAACAGAAACAAAGCGGTATTAGGTGACATCACTGATCTATGATTTCTGATTGTACGGACACCGAATTTTCATACCGTCAAATTATTGATGACAATGAAGATTTTACGATATTGACCGTAGAATAAATCACTATGACTCTGGTATTTCAGTGATAACTGTACGTCCATAAAGTCACAGCATCTCTAAACGTCAAATGCCTATGCAGCAGTGTAAGCACCGTTTACTTATCTATCTTTAAAAATGTCTGCATTTGTTATCGCCTGCAATCATCTACGCAGTTTATAACAAGTGTGGCACGTTCATTATGTTTCTTTTTACATAAAATCAGCAAAGACCAAAGTGACAAATGAAATGGGGCCGTATCGACAAAGGCTCCATCCACTTGTTTAATTACTAGGTAATTCACTACCGCTCAAACGCTTATCACATGCGGCATGTTTTTCAGTTTGTCCTAATGCAAAGCAAATCAAAGTCAACTGATAGATGAACGTGGTACATTATGACTGATTGCAGAGTAAATCAATTGAAATTCGAAGAAAACTAATTGTATTTAGCACCGAGATACTCCAACGTTGGTTTTGTGATCCCTGTTTTCGTCCTATTCACTTTGGAATGGTGCGTAAATGACTGTGCTCAATTTCAATAGCTGCACAAATGCGTGACAGCGTGGACGAGATTTTACTCTTAGTGTATAATGTTGAAACGCCAAATGACTCGTTCTCTGGGGATAAACAGGTGCCCTAAACCTCTTGCATTCCGTAATCGGTATCAAGCCGTGTGAGTGACCCCTGTGAACACGCTCCGTTTGTTGCCATGCAATACTGCTACACGAAGTGGTAAGAGTTCCGTCGCGTTTAATGGTATTGATGGCGGGCGTCACTGAATACAATATACATGTATGTATACATAGTTAATAGTTCGCCTCTCATTGACAATAATCCATATAATAAACAGCACTTCTCAGATGAAGTAAGTATCGAATGTGTTTTTATGGTTCTTTGTGGTCTACTTTACATACCGCACATTTCGAGAAGCTCAGCTGTATCTAACCTACTCCGCTGTCTGGCAACATGTAATATCTACTGCAAACTCCAGCTTGCACAGACCTCGATCAAGATTTCATTGGAAAATCTGAAATAAAACAAGCAGAGATAATTGCCAGTTATATAAATGTCATTTCCAAGTTATCGCCACAGACTTTGCAGTTGCCTACCGTGGGCGTTTCTAGTCTACAGCATTCTCAGGTATCAGGTACATGTATTTACAATAAAGAAAGATACCGCAAACTACATACTGATGTTTTGTTCTTGTGCACGCTTCTGGCGCAAGCGCAACGATAGAAAGAATGCGCATGTCCAAACCTGCACGCACATGAACGGTTGAACAGACTATTACAGAGTGTTTTGTGCCAAGCTGCGTGGCATGTCCTACAGTATATCATGGTAGGCTCCAAGTCTTTAATTTCAAAAGTTCAATGATTCTAGAGATCCAGGCATTCACGGTAAAATCGGCAGGTAAAGAAAGCCGCATTTACATGCATGTGTACACGCTAACGCCCTCTGCGTCATTATGTACATGTAAATACTTAAATACTTTTGACAAATCAAATGAACGCTGTGCGGTTACTTAACGCTGACACGTTTTTTTTTTCCAATGACACATATTAATCTTGCGATAGAGTCTGTGGAGACTTTCTTTTTCCAAACATCTTCGAATATTATTTTAAATGAAAAATCACGTCGACAGGTCTGCCAAATCTGGAGAGAAGACAGCTTTACAGCTATGCAGTATGTATTAAAAATGAGTGGTGAAGATTGCTAATAAATGAAAGCAGCGGTGGTAATCTGTGGCACGGAAAAACAGGAAACCGCACGTGGAATCTAATTTGGATGTAATGAGCTGTCTTGATAAACAGTTCAAATCACATAATATTCATGCGCCTTTGAGGAGGGTAAGGTTATTACATTGGCCTCGTAATAAATAAATAATACCTAGTTACAATTAAATGAATAAAATAGTAAATAATAAAAACAACGATTTGGAAACCATTTGTTAATCTTAAATCTAAAATAAAAGAAAGTAAAGTTGTTTCGCAGAAAAAAAAACATTTGAGCAGCTAAATAAGCAATTATTGATAAGCGGTCTAGTATCAAGAATGTCGTAATAATGAAGATATTGAACACATCCGAAATTGAATATAAACGCTTTTAAAAATATTTCTACAGTCGTGTAATTCCTTACTGTTACGTCAGTCCTTTTTTTTTTCAAAGCAACACCTATGAAGGAATGTTTTTTAACTGTCTCGGTTGCTTTCTTTTACTTTAAAAGAGAGAGGGATTTCTTAAACTTTAGCTTCCATATTCAACCAATATACTGAATGAGAACTATGTTTAAATCTGTTACTGGAACTTACTTTAGCAACTGACCGACGTTGTTTCACTAGGTAAGGTAAAAGGTCTCAGGTTGAGACCGCAACGGCGGTCAGATTGCTAACATTAGTTCCACTATCAGAGTTCTACATAATTCTCAATTTAATTCTATACTGGACGACTCAAAACATTCACTCATAAACCAATATACTGTTCAGTAAAGTTTTCGAAAGTGTTAAAATTCCTTCCTGCTCGATGATTACCCAGTGCTCCATAAAACAATGGCCACCCCATTCATTCTTTATTTCGTTGAGTCCAAAGAGATATTGAATGAAACAGTGACTTGATTGTGAGCATATTTATGTACAGCACTGTATAGGTAGATGAATATATTTCATACGTCAGATATATATCATGTGATTAACGTTTTATGGTTCATAGACAAAATTTAATGAATCTAATTAATTTGGTTCCCAAGAAAAATGTGCCCGGAGCACAAAAGGAAGACAAACTCTCTTCAATTATAATGACTAAAAATGCTGATCAATATTTCGCTCACTCTGCCTTCTATTATATTACTTTCAATCCATCATCTGGGGGACCTATAGCCAATAACACCAGCTATCTGGGTACCTATCCATCAACTTCATCCCGTGTATACGATAGCCCGGTATGTACCGTGTTTACGTCCAATTTGTTCTGATGAAATCGGAGGGCATCCAGGGCCAAAGATTTTCCGATACTCCGTAACACACAGACTACCTCCCATTATGAAATAAGGCCCCATTCCAATAGACACCATCGGTCTACCAGTAAATCGATCCAACTTTGCATCAGTTAAGCTGAGGGTACAGCAGTTAAGCTGATTGCACTCAGCGAAAGTCCCTGCAGAGTTGGGATAAGTAGACTTATGACGTCTATGGGAATGGAATCTGCGATTACAAAGCCCTTTGGGTCAGTTGGGTTGAGCGTGAATATGTGACGTCACACTAAGCCCACCAGCGCCACCTTCTGTCAGTGACACATCTTAATCTGCCGAGATATTCTGTAGAGACTCTCTTTTTCCCAAACATCTTCGAATATAATTCAAAGTGAAAAATCACGCCGATAAGTGTGCCACAATTTTGGCGAGAATAAACAACGACTCAATATCTTGTCTTTAGATAATGTTTTCGGTGCATGGAACGCGTTGCGGCGGAGGATTTTTTCTTCGTGTGAGGTGACATGCCGGTATATATAATAAAAGAAAAAAACATGAATTGCACGTGTTCGTGCAAAATGTTTCTCAGGCAAGCTGCAAGATACCTCTTACCTCCCATTGTTTACACCATAGCGCGTTTAAATATATAACGTAATAAAATATAATAATCTACAGTGAACTTTATATAATAATTGCGATTCAATTCAAAGTTTTTAAGTTTAAGGTGAAATCTTCTCAACCTTATTTCACACGAGCATATATTGCATCTCTCTCTCTCTCTCTCTTGGCGATGTATCAATCAATATCGTGTGGATGCCAGCGGAACCTTTTTGAAAGCTTTTGGGATTTGGCTTACCGCTAACAATCTAATACCAGTCGCACTGAGATGCCTTTTTCATATTAAATAGGTAATTTCTCTAGAGATGAATAGATCATAGTGTGCTCGGACTTAGTTACAAATAGGTTTGTTTTTCGTCTGGTTGGTTCACTAATATATGCTCGTGCAGGCTATGGTAGGTTCCACACACACAATATTCCTGTTTACTGTTGATAGCCTGTGAGTGGCACTTGGCCGGAATATCAATAAGACAGACCACTCGCACTCGCTCAGTCGCTGTTTTTTTTTTTCTTTCTTTTTTTTTTTCAGAATTAGCCGAATGTCAAAGGTCTAAGAAATGTGATAAAACCAAAGCCATGTCGTAAACTAATGTTGATTATGATTGGCAAGTTGAGGCAAACTGGTGATACAGTCCTTATCTTAATGCTTACAGACAATTGGCTCTCTAAGGCTAAGGATTTTTGGGCTGACAAAATTGAGCGCAAACTAATACTCTTTGAGAGTCTGAGGAAGCATTCAGATTCAGACATCGTACCAGCTAGATCGATTCAATTCTGAAGGGATTCTCGCTAAAGTGCATTCAAGTAATTAGCTTTATTGTCTTACACGCCTCCTCGAGTATCTTAGGAATAATCAAGCCAAGCGCACACGAAAGTTATTTACCCCCTAGCTGTTCGAGGGGGCATGTCAAACAATTAAACTGATTACTTTGACTGCACTTTTGCGAAAATAACCACAGAGTTGGATCGATCCAGCCGGTGCGATGTCTGAATCTGAATACTCCCTAATACCCATGTATCTGAGCCATTGGAAGCAGGTTTGACGACATAATGCGCGTACGGCTTAACGCATTTAGGGATAACTCATATCTCTCGGATTAAAAATATAAATCATTATGTAATTATTTCACTGAGAATTACAACATCTGTCGCCAAACATGGGTTCTTTCTGATAAATTCTGAAAATTAAAAAAAAATACAGATCACTAAACCTTACTTGATTTCAGATGATATATCGACAAAGCGCCAATAAATATCGTACACATAAAAGCAAATGGATTGACGAAATGTCTAACAACCCCTTGCAAGTCATTACTTTGATATAATAAGTGCCTTTAATCAGCCTGAATAGTGTCAGAGGTTAAAGTGACATATGACATTAATGCCTTAAGTGGATTTAGGAACTTTCATCGTATTACTACAAAATAAAAAAGCCCATACAATGATAACTGGGAAATTTGCCCTAAATGTAATCAAACTAAATTGTTGTGTAACGAACCGATATCCATGATACGATGAATTTATTTTGCGCCTGTAGCGCACTGATGGTACTTTCAAAAATATGCATCGAATTAGTAAAATGAAAACAGTAAGGAATTTTGCACATCTGTTAGGAAAAAAGTCGTTTTTTAAAAGCAAATTAACAGATTCCACGAATCAGACTCATGCTGTGTACTTTTTATGCAAAGGCTTCAAATGGATTTTATAGGAATCCAATGCTTGTTGCTCTCAAATGTCTTCATTAACAGAACAGTTGCTAGTACCATACACTTAAAAATGCAACCTTGACATTACAGCGATTTACGGAATGTTCATGGACCGTGATCTAGAATGTAGATGTATTTGAGCTAAAGACCTTACTCGCATTTATTCAAACGATACCGTTCTTGTAGCACCCGAATGTTATAGAGTATCACGAACGGTCACATATATAGAACAAGCTTACGGTTCTACACTCTAGGACCCCGACTTCCTTGCAAAGTGGATGCGGTGTCTTATAATTATGGTCGAGCATTGTTTGAAGAATTCTTAGACTCCAAATTGATGGCATTTACATACATGTGATACGGGACAATTGGCACGCTGATCGCAAAATGAAGTAGACTTTTAATCCATCATTGTTAGAAAATTAGAATGAAACTGCAACGCATGCGAACAAAATCACGCTGGGAAATTACGTTTCTCCCCGGCAACGTTCTTTGTATAATAGTAGACGACTCTGCATGCAATAGTTAAAGAATAGGCTATACTCTCAGATTGCTGTTTGATTAAATGCTCAGAGGTTTCTAATTAGAAAAGCAATTACGGCGAATGCGCACAAAGCCTGCGTACACAATTCATCTCATTTCGGTTTTTACAAGGTATGTGAAATCCTCTTTAGATTTAACTCCCTGAAGTAGCCCCTATTAGATCGCGGGCGTAATATACATACATCTCAACTACTCTCTGGCCACAGGGTGCGCTAGTAGTCTGTTACAAAAATGTTACAAGTGTGATTTTGTATAGTTTTTTTTTTTTTTTGGGGGGGGGGGGGCTGATATCAGAGGGTACATCTCGAGGTGTTTTGTTTGTGAAGAAAAAAATTGTTGTCTCTTGAGCTGCCGAGAGTGACAGTGTACCATGCAGAGCTCCACACAATACCATTACCCTCTACCATGGTGGCAGATATTGTGGGGAAATTTGGCAGAGAATCAGATGACTGTCTATTTATCTACAGAGATATCTGTGAATTCTTGTGAAAAATCAATCTGTCGCCCTGGTAGAGGGTACAATACCATCGATGTTACCTCTATCTGCTCCATCCCCACTAACTTAACTGGTCACTTTACTCAAAGGAGAATGTCAATTTTTCGAGCCTAAAAATGAATAAAAATATGATTTCTAGTCCTTTTGCAGTCATTTTCTGCGTATTTTGATCACTTCGCAGAAAAGAGGGGTTATCAACCAGATATTGACGTCACAAGTGTTTAGGAACCTCTGCTGTGAATTTACACATTACAAACGACCGGGGACTCAGTGACGTCAATTTCCAACCCATAAGCCTCCCTTCTCTCCCAAACCCTAATAGTGATCAAATTGTGCAAAAAAATGACTGTAGATGACTAGAAATTATTATTCTATTCATTTTCAGGCCCCAGAGAGCGAGATTGCCGTTTAAGGATCAAACAGAGACTGTTATGCGGATTTATGCAATCGAGCGTCTAATCTTGGAATCGTTGTTTTCTTCTTTTTTCGTTTTAACTTTTAAAAATCTACCTGACCGCGACCTCAGGATGCAGTGTACGCATTTAGAATAACCCTTGTATAGTAAGAATCGGTCAAGGCTATAGGCCTAATCAATAAACTTACCAATATCTCGATGTACCTGTTGTCAGTGATGTCATCTGTCCCTAGAACCGTTTTCAAAGCACAGCTGTCTTATATCGGTCAACTAACAGAACGCCGTTCAGACGAGCGATACCCCCCAAGTGCTGCTACTCCAACAAATACTAGCAGATATTCCCGTTGCCATGGAACCCGTGCGTGACTGTCGCCTTACGGTTTTGTTCTACGTCTGATGACACGGTTTGTTCAGAGTAACCGTACGCGCGTCACACCTGAGAAAAAACACCTCATTACTGAGACCACCTTCGTCAGCCGGGCATCTTATACCTTAATTGAGCGGCGTGCCTTTAACAGTGTTCCACCATAGACTGGTGTGTATACGTTATCTGCTCGTATTCGTACTATAGCGATACTCGTGAAATGTTGTGTAGACCTAAGGATTAAGAACTTCTGAATATAAGGGCGATAAATGATATATTGAGCTAGAATTCTGACAAACAACTCAATGTGATGGTGTTATATATACACTTTACACTTTGCGAGCTCCAGCCGCTCATGTACACTGGCGGGTTTTGTAGGACACACACACACACACACACACACACACACACATATACATGGGTGTCTCAGCTAGCTACACCGTTTCAATCTCTCTCTCTCTCTCTCTCTCTCTCTCTCTCTCTCTCTCTCTCATGCGCGCGCACGCATGGGAGAGAGAAAGAGAGAGATTTATTAATAAAAAATAAAATAATAACATATCGCTATGTGTGGCAGTTCAACTTAATCGATTAAGCCTACACGCATTAAACTTAGAATATTTACCTTCATATTATCTATTTGATAATTATATTTGATCATGGATAGCAAAGCCAGGTGCACAAAAACATGTAGCTCCTTTCATTACAAACCAAGCCATTAGGTTCAAATAAGATACTGTAATATATATGCTCACAGATTAGACATATTATCTAATTCATCCTGTTTCATCTACCTGTAACTGAGAAAAAATTGAAGTTCAGATACGTTGTTAGACACTCGAACTGTTATCGATCGAGTCAGATACTGTAAGATATTGGCTCACAGATAAGACATGCAATGCCTATCATCCGCCTTTGTCTATAATTGAGCAGAAAGTGTAGGTAAGACTCTCGAACTGAATTGTGTCATCACTCTTAATGTACACGTATATTCTGTTTAAATATCAAACTGTATCTTGGGCGCTTGATTGAAGGCAAGATTATATAGCTGCATATACAATAGATGTATATGCATGTACATGTATAAATACACGAAACCATCCCTACTTGTGGAAATGTTTAAGAAGTTGGTATGTGTAATGTTGCTTCTGGTGATGTATATGAGGTTTAAAAAGTGACCCAAAATGACCCATGTGTCTAAAGGGCATATTATTTCTCAAGCTTTGCTTTTAAATTTTCTAACATGTCTAAGAAGTACGTTAAAAGCATCCCCAACAGCATACTTTAACTAAATAATATATGGGGGAAATGCTGTTCTAAGTACAAAAAGCAATTCTAGCTATCGAGTTGCGGTCTAGTTCATTAATATGCATTAATATTCGTGCCTAGTTGAAACTTCTTTCACTTTTTTAACTGACACCACGATAACACTAAGCTAAAGGTAGATTAAGTATTATTACGGCTGGATTCTCTCCTGGGTTGATAGTCCATACTGACGATTAATTCGCGGTTAACTGCTCTAGCATCCAGGTAGAGAGTTTACAATCGTAGCAATAATAACTTCCAACCTTATTAAACAACATAATACTTTTCAGTTTCCTCCACCGCTTAACCCTCCTCCCAAACCGCTTATCAATTGATGCCTTTAATGTCTCTAAAACCTCGGCAATAATCTAGAGAAAAATGCGATTTCCGATGAAAAAGCCCATTAAAACACAATAGAATATGGGCAGAGTGAATTGCAGTTGGACTCATATTACACAGATGACTTGTATATCACCGCCTGCAATTACCGAACATGTTCCAGCAAAGTATATAATTTGGGCTGCAGTTTATTATTACAGTTCGTTAGCTTAGCTTGACAAGTTGTTTCGATACATCATTCGAACTCGACGCATTATGCAGTGTGATTTTCCGAGCTTCTCGTAGTGAGCCGCTGCCCTGGACATTCGCCAGGGTTGGATTCTGTCAGGAGATCAAAAGGGAAAGGGGGAGGGGGGTACCAGTCCTTGATCTGGAGCAGGTGGGGGGATGAATAGGGGTACCACCCTTTAAAAAAAGGTAATGTCTACTGAACAACTTTGATTTTCATATGTATTACTACTGCTACTACTATCTCCTTTTACGCCGTCGGGCGAGAGAGAGAGAGAGAGAGAGGCACGCATACAAGCTAGGGACGGGTTGAGGTCGTCTTCTGGTTCTTCCAGAAGACTGTCAGATTTTTAAGTTACCATTGACGGGTATCTAATTTTTTTCTGTCGGAAGACGGTCAAAAATGGAGGATGGATCAACAAAGATAACTTGAAAGACTGTCAGAAAATATCTCTGGACCCGCCCTGCAAGCACACTCAAACGATATGCGCCAGAGTGTAGTTTTTAGCCACGAAATGAGTCACGAATAGCATGTCCATTTTATGTGTGCGTTTAATTCACAGATGAGCAGAATCCAATAACTAAATGATAGGCCCTACCTGCTCGTTAAGTATGACTTACCTGTATTCATTTCGCTAATCCAAGATAAGTGGCCTCATTTGTCTTCCAACGACATTTTACTGAGATAGCATTTGTGTTTCCCCGATGAGGCTGGCAACTCACTGACTTCATTTTTTTCTCAGAATCTACATTTGCTCAACACTCGTAAGGTTTTCCAGAAGCAACTTCATGCGCACCGGAGGTCGTTTCTTTGGAGTTATTAAGCTGATGAAAGCTATCGCTTTCAGATTATCTGCTCGTGCAGGTGACAACACCTGGGTTTCTAAGAACCAGTTTGTTCCAGTTTCTTAGGTTCTAACAGTGTGTTTTGTGCTAGTCGACAGTTCTGTTTTTTGTTTTATCCAAATCTTGCGTGCATGTACCTAATAACCTTTCCAGGGATAACATTGAAAAATTTCCCAAGTTGAAAAACGTGCATTTTTAACAATATGCTTGAGACGACGAGATCTGACTTCGTTTCGTCCGATCTGAGTTCATGACGGTTTGCAAGAATGTGGTGATATCCCCTATCGTATTAAAATATGGTGCTTCTTACATATATATATATATATATATATATATATATATATATATATATATATATATATATATATACATCTATACCTACTATATACGTGTATATATTCTGTATATACTGTGCGTGGTGGTTCCTAACAAATGAGACAAATTTCAATAAAACGATCATGATAACTTGTCATTAACCGCCATTTAATGCCACTGTCAAGTGCATATGCATGCATCAAATATTAGCGACAGCCAACCACAAACACATTTGCCAAATATTATGGCATTTTTTCTTGTTGTATTGCAATATTTTACCTAGGTGTGGCGCACCTAGCTTTGACAATCAATTTTCTATCGTGACAATATTTCATCAACATTTGTGCAAAACATAAAAACGTTATCGAGCTTCGTGCTGGCGACAATAACTGGCTGCTCTTATTTAAAAGTGCCATTACGATCAAAAATGTAATCAGACGCGCACGAGCATATGACTGCAGCAACAATTAACAGATGCACTTTGCTGTCACATGCCCTCTATCGAAGTCATAGACAGATTTCTTTGATAATATATATTCACAGATATTTCTATGGCTATTTACTAGATGTACACATTTCTGATCTACCTTGTATATGCGAGGAGTTTTGCACAAGAAAGACGTCATCACTCTTGGTAAAGGGTGCATGTAAAGCAGCTGCGAGTGTTTGAATAAATTGATGAAAATGACTGTGTTAGCTGAACGTTTTCGGAGAAAAATGATTCAAAGTACGTCATCAAAAGGTCACATTCTTGGCAAAAGCACAGAAACAATTCAAAATTGACACGTTGCTTGGCATGTTGACAATCCGTTTTTTGTATGTTTGCACATGCACCCCCCCCACCCCCCTCCCCCCTCGACAAAAAGGTTTGAACTAATTCGGTTCCTTGACTGACTCCGTGAAGGAAACACGCCTCACCAGACTGATGACATTTTTATCTAGATCAACGACCAGGCGATCAAGTTAACCAACCAATTGTTTCCATGTCTAACTATTTCAAAAGTCTGAAAGCTTTCAATTTAACTTACGGTTCTAACTCTGAACATGACGACTGCGAGAAACCTCTTCGGTTGGAGTCCTAGATATACTGACGGCCCTGAGGAGAGTGTTATTAGTAAAGTGCAGAAGGAAGTGAACAAAGATAATGGTTGCGGTAGATGAGACCTACCCCTACACACAATATATTGGGTTATTCCTAATGATAATGCTTTTAATATCTATTAATTTGCGTAAAAGGTTCGCTCCTGATTGTAAACACTGGCATTGCAGGAACCGAAACATTGCAGGAAAAGGCGTGTTCCAACTATACGTGTCATTATCATTACACATAAAGGCAATGAAAGAAATATTTTTTAATTTGTGTCCTGACATTTAATGATATAAAAAGGACCGCCATTATATACTGTGACGCAGTTCGCAAGGCCAAAAAAAAAAAAAAAAAAAAAAAAAAAAAAAAATTAAACGCTAGCCCTTGTTTTATTTATGTGACACAAATGGCAGCATGTATTTTGCCGTTGCTACACCTTAATCATTTCAAGCCTTATAATAAAAATTAAGCACATTGGCCTAGGCACTTTTCTAATGTTAAAACATCTGTCTCACCAGTAGTTAGATTCATAACTAGCCATTATGAAACATTACGGAAATGATTTAGATAAAATTTATACATAGATTTATTCTCAAAGGAGGCCATCACCTAAATTTTTCTAATACATGATCTTTCAGCACATTCATGAGCCTGTGATTTATTAACATTCAATTGTCACAGACATACGCGCACTTATCAAGATGTACGGTATCATGTTTACTTATCGACGACAACTTAATCATTTCTCTTCTCTTGACCGCAAAACAATATGACAAAGCCCTATTCACATATTGCATCCGTCAATCCTAACACTAAACAAATAAATGAAAACAAATGATATCATGTTCTTGCTGTTATAAGCATTGCAGCGGGTGAATAGTAAGTCTAATAGAAGTCTGTTGTATGGCCGATGGTTTTATGAGCCCGAGCCCCGGTACTTTATCTATTGGGAAGAATATTATAACCATACACCACACGTCTTCTGCAAAACAAATCTACATGAATATCACGTAAAGTAAAGTATGTATTACGACTGATCAGGGTTCAGGTATGTTTCACCAGTTCGTCGCTTCTCGTCTCTCAAATTCTCTACCTCTCATTCTTCAATTTACCTTTGATAGCCAAACGATCAGCAAGCAACCCACAATGGCTCTTTCCCGTATTTCTAACTTCCCTCTCCTGATCAATACATAATCCAGTCTGGTGTCATGCAAATCCAGATTCGGGAAAATGCCCTCTTACTTTTGCAACTATAAACCAACTTGTAAGGCAACATTTTCTAATACATATTTTCTCATGATCAATATAATGGTTGCCATTGATTACACTTAACGAATATCCGCTTGTCATGTACGGAGTTGCCAAGTCTATGACGTTAATTTCACGCTTTCTGTACATTTCGACCATCAATTTCGTTCTTTAATAACATTCAAGAATCTTAAGCATATAAGAAATACAAGTAGACATTTGCTGTATTTCAATATGTGTGTCTTTGGGTCTCAACATATTATATGGGTATTTGGAATAGCCATAATGACTTATTTTCTCTGAATATTTATATATTTATTGCAGTTTCGAATACTGTAAGAGAGGGTATGCATTATTATGGCCCAACAGTTCTACGGGTTATGATTACAGCTGTAACACTATTCAGGTGGAGAAGGATTCACTCGGGTGTGGAACACAACGTAAGTATGAGAATAGTTGATAATTAGGTATAAATGATTCAGATGGAAAGTTTAGCTCATTCAAAGACTCATATGTTGGACGGAAAATCCGCCCAACCCAGCCACCTATGTCAAATATATACTGATGCTGTATTTTAATTGTTGAATTGATGACCCAACCACCTATGCAAATAAACCTAAATCGGCGTCGGTTTAGGTGAAATAATCTGACCACCACATTAATTTGTCTTGATGAAACATTTGGTGATATCTGAATCGGATACGACACCGGAAACCGCATTCTGAACTTGCAAAGTGTGGCCACAAACAGAGGAGTGAGACCAAATTATTCAGAAAGAATGAAATCGATGTTAACATGAAATTACGTTTTTGAAAATGAAATGAAAATGACAGCCTTACTCAACATCAAACAAAAAGAGACGACGTGTAACAAAATAATTAAATCACCTAGATAATATACCACCCTATACAGAATAAAATCAAAATACTCAAATTGCATTTAAAAAATGAAATTATCGAAGCAATATTCATTACCAAACAGTCGTATAGTAATACGAACTAAGTACACTTGCAATTTTTACTTATCTAAACCTGTGATCTTATTTAGCAATGCAACGTTATTTTTTCTATCATTGATGTCACACAGCAACTGACATTATTCGTCGGTGCATTTTGTGAGTCAGAACATGTCATTAGACAGATGTATGATGGCTTTTGAGAAACTGGGAGCAATTTGTCCCATTTTCAATGCCGTCGTGTGCCCACACATCATTACGTTGGCAAATCTGGCGAATTATCCGTTCACTCCTCCAGGTGAAGATTTTGACCCGAGCTATTTTGTACAGTATTTGAGCCCTTATTCCAAGCTAAAACAGAGAAGAGTCTGGAAATCCTAGCCGCCTCTTTTTTTTCCCAAGCATCTTAAGCCCCCTTTACATTGGACGGCTTCCTTCCCTGCGTCCCGTATAGTAAAAAAAAATACTTCACGTGCCGACAACTGGCATTCATTCTGCAACCAAAGCGATGTTTGTGCCTCCTTTCTACGACCACAGCGATGCCTGTTTCATGGTCGCACAAAGAAGGCAGAAAGGACGCCGTCCAGTGTATAAAGGGGGGGGGGGGGAGGTTAATACAACCTAGTACCCCATCAGCCTAGATACAAACAAAGTTACCTATCGGTATAAAGCAAGAAAGTTCCAGACCTGCATTGCTGGATGATGTTGCACTTACCTGGCCTCCATCTGTGAACCGTCATGCACCGTGTGAAGGTGGTAAATTATTAATATATCATATCTCTTGCAGTCAGCAGATTGATTGTAAGGCACAAATCAACCTGGACGAGATCTGCTTGTCTGACTGGGTCAGATAAAAAGGATGTTCTTATTCTAGCTATCTGTGACCACTATTTAAGGGGGTACCGTGCGGTGGGGGGTGGGTGGGGGGGTGGGGGGGGGCGCTCGTTATATCTTGGTTTTTATCCCTCGAAATCTGAAGCGCAGAACAAAAGTGGGTTTCAGTCCCCGTCGATAAAATACATCTTTATCATACTTAATGCGATGAGGATCCACACGCATTTTTATTGTTTATTATTTCAGAACAACAGCCGCTGATATTCCAATATCACGCGAACTTCGCATTTCACCCTGGCAAGCCGCAGATGGCCTCGAGACTTCGAGATCCAAGAAAAACGATGATTAAAGAGTGATCGTCATTACTTTTGCTAACTGTGATCTCTTGAGGACACTTCAAAACAATGCTGACGTTTTTCTTTCGATGAGTTCTATACAGGACACGACCTAACGATATTTGGTTCTCGAGTACTGAGGTTCGCGTACGAACTTCCTGCAATGGCCCCAAGTGTATGAAGTTATAAGGCCCCTATTACTTGACTGTGTATTGGTTTAATTAAAATTTTCACCGAATTTATAATTATTATTATAATGCCATTCCATTTTATATATCTATCCTACAATGTAATAGCTATCTCTTTCATAAATAATTTATTTCATCATTTTTTCATCGATCTTGCGATGATTTTATTTTTCACCTCATGCAAAGTTTGACATCACTGTCTGCATTAGTATAGTACGTATACATGTATGAGTTATATTTAATGATCTGACGCACGTTTATCCGTGTAACGGTGTACTTATAAAGGCTTGGATTTT